CCTTGCCTGCAACAATAGCCAAAGTGAGTAGGAAAAAATACCGCCAAAAACTGAAAGAGCACCGATTATGGAAACTTTGTGGGTGGTAGCATCATCACGTGGTTTAGGGTTCACTAAGTCAACGTGAGTTGACCATAGATAAATGTCTTTTCCTCTGTAGAATATAAAGACAAGAGCTCCACCAACGCCAAGCACTGTCCCAAATACCTTAGCATTCCCTTGCCTCGATCCTAGCCCTACACTCTCCATTCTATAGGACCCGACCCACCAGACAATGGATTAGATAGAAAGATATTAAAAAATTACTCCCTCCGTTTAGATATAAATGTTGTTTTAGAATAATGTGTTTGTTTAAAATTAAATACTTTAAAATTTAATGTAATTCTTTGTCACAAGTACCTATTTTAACTCTAATTGAATTTAATGAAATAGAATATAAATTCAAAAATCATATCTTTTTGTAGGGACATAATAGTATAACTCATTAATTTTATTAATTTCTGTGCAAAATGTCAAAACGATGTTTATACGAAAACGTAGAAAGTATGATTTAGTGATTGGAGACTTGCCTAAGAAGTGCAGCCAAGGCGAAAGTGACCAAGGGACTAAGAACGCCAGCAGCAGAAGCGAATGTTGCTGATGTCAGAGCGATTCCGGTCACGGCTAGGGTACTCGGTATCACCGAACTGTTCAATTATCACCAAATTATAATAAACCCAATATGTTTTGTTCTCTTCGCTATGTTTTTGGTACATATTAGTCTTAAATGTAAAACTAATGGCTGATAATATATGGTTACGTTGTAGATATAACCAGTTTACTCTTGAGCAGAGTTTTGGTATATGAAATATTGCTCAAGTCATCCTAGCTAAAATACCCGATGGCTTGCCTAACTGTAGCTAGTGGTGTGGCTAGGTATTTTTCAAAAATGGTTTGCATCGTTTTGGTTACGTTGTAGATATAACCAGTTTAATCTATGTATATTTTTTTTAAGAAGTGTTTGCATCTATATATAGAGAACGGAACTTAGGATTATGCGAATTTCACACTCTTACATTAAACATATAACCATGTTAGATCTGTTCAAATATCTTTTAAAAAATGGTTTTTTTTTTTTAAGGTTTTATTTTGGCAAACACAAAAGAACCAAAGTAAAAAGAAAAAAAAGAGTTGCCGTTTGAGCTCGGCAAAACTTCTACTTTGTGTACGTGTAACAATTTACGTACCCAAGTAACCCCGAGAGAAGTGCTAGTAAGCACAAACTCCATGTGAACTCTGGCCTCTTCTCCCTAATTGATCAAAAACGAGACAATTAATCAAAGTAATTAATATCAAAACATACAAATTACAACAACAAAAAAACCTTTGAAAGAAGAAGGCTAAGGGAAGCATGAAAATTGTAGCGAAGACGAGACGATAGGCCACGAGAACTCTCGGTTCCATACCATCAGCCACCGCAAGCTTGAATAAAATGTTCAATCCTGCCGTAGCTATCTGAACCACCACCATTGCCATTACACCCTTCATTTCTCTCCACATTTCACATATTTTTCCTACCATTTTTTTTGTTTCTTCTACTTT